AATTGGACACGCGCTATTCGACTTATGCTGGCTCAATCCGTGCAATTTAGTAAAATTGCAAAAAAACTGAATATAGATTTGTGCCAATTTTTTTCTCATCGAAAGGAAACACTGTGCTTATTAAAATCATGAAATAAAAAATGGGGGTCACCGTTCTCGTTTTTGCAGTAGAGCTGCAGAAAGTGCGCATTAAATGCATTTTCTCCGATTTTTGAGAGAGGACTGGGGCGAGTTTCATAATAGAATGTATGTAAAAGGGGGAAGAAATTATTTAAAAATCCGTTTTTACAGAATTTACATCGAGATATCACATTTAGGACACAATGTGATAAAGAACTATAATAGTTAAAAACAAGGCAAAAACAGCAAGAAGACAACTCGGAGGGCGACATCTGCTATTTGGAGAATACTTGCGAAGCTGGACAAAACTAAACGTACACTATCGAAGATGAACTTAACATCGATGCAGGTAAGCATGTTTTAGCTGTTTTTAAACTAGGAATTATCTTAAGTGAATAATATAGCAATTAATGAATTCAGCTTTCGTAGGATATAAAGAATTCCCTCTGAGTTCTGCTTAATTCTTCATATCCTACGAAAGCCGAATTCATTGATTGCTAAATATTATACTTAACCTGGCAAAATGCATAGTCAATCTGTTAAGATGGCGAGTTGTTGTTCGTAAAAACAAGACTGTCAGATAAGGTGAAGTTATCAACTCGGAGGTTTGTATAAGCCATCCAGTTCTACAAACTGACCAAAACAAAAGACGAAGGTTTGTCAGTCAGTCGGTCCACGAAAAGGGACCAGCCTCTATCGAAGTTTTACTCATTAAGAAAAAACCTGATTATAATTTAACAAAACGAGTGCTGAAGTCGATAACCCAAGTATATCGTTTTATAAAATCTTGTATAAAATCTTTTGAGTACCTTTACTCATTTACACTTGGTAACAGAGATTTGATTGCACAGTTTTTGTTTCTTCTAATTTGTTTTGTTTGCTTTTTTCATCAAATGTCTTGAGGGTGGTTCTAATAGAATCAATTAATTACTTTGTTATAATTAACTGTAGGTATTCTATACACATATTTGTCCTTTTTATACAGTTTAGGCACTAATAACTGATTTCGATACTAAAAATGTATGGTTAGTTCGACTATGTATTTTTGCTACTATTGTGGTAACTTTGTATACAATATGTGTAGCTTTGCAATTGGATACAGGTCTTTAAAAAAGTATTTTAACTTTGCTTACAATAGTAATGCCTTTGTGAAGTCCGTCAAAAATTTTCACTTCCCTAAGACAGATTTTAAAACTGTCTTCGGTCAAATCCTCCACCCACACTGCCATGGCGTCTTGAGGTCTCCCAGGAAACTTGTGACTGGCAGTCGCAAGTACGATCGGAGGAGTCGCAAAACGCTTAAATAAGGAAAAAAGAAAGATGAAGAGGTAAATCAGTTAATTAAAGGACACTGAAAAAAAAAAACAACAACAACAAAAAGGAAACTAGTTTACAACTCATTCTTCACGGTGTAAACACCAAACATTATAATCAGGGACCGTGACCTAAGTTAAATGGAGCAATATAGTAAACAGTGCTTCATCTCCGTCTGTACGACAACAACAGCAGCAGCTGCAACAACAACAAGAATCTTTCTAATTATTTAAGCGCGATTTATGATATTACACGGACTTCCACCTACATACAGAAAAAAACCTTTCGTAGAAGGAGAAACTCACATTGAACCCGTGAGAAAAGGTCAAAATTATATTACAAATAGTATACCAGCCATCGTAAAATATAATTACAATGTGTAACGTTATTTAAATTACAAAACAAATTATATCTTCTATTTTTCCTAAATAATTTAATTTCAGTTTGTGTACCGTGAGTAGTGGATAAGGCACCGAATTAACCTTTTCTTTGCGGATTTAATTAACTTTTTGTGCGGTATGAATTAACGCAGATAACGTCATGCATCTCATTAAGATAGGATGATGTCATAGTTTATTTATAGCTGGCAAGGAGCAAGTGACGTCAGAATTTCCTAGAGTTGACGTTATCAAAAAATATTGAGATCATAATCTATAAACAGAAAAGTCATTTTTTATATAATCAGCTATTTGCGATAGTTTTCTTATTGGATATTGTTTGCTATAGTCTTCTGATTGGATATTGTAGAAACTGTTATGTGTTCAAAATAAGAGCGGGCAAATTTTGAACGTGTTATCCTTGCAGATTATACTAAATGAAAAATCTTTAATCATTAAATTATTTTCACTAAAAATCGGTTATAAACAAAACTAAGACATGGAGGTTAACTGAAAAATCTTTACTTCAAAAGAAGGGAAAAGGAGGTTAAGCAAATGCGAAATCGTACTAATTTTTCAGGCAAAACATGAAAACGAGGTCGAAGCTCAGCGAAGCAAAAAACTGCCTATCAAGCAAAAATGTCAATCTATGTTTACTTGACTCTGTAGAAAGTATTGCACAGGGTATGAAAATTCTATAGAAAACAACAGGTGGTTCTAAAGTAAACCCTAACTCTTTTGGTTCTTGAATAAGCTCCATTCTAGTAACGAATAAGTGGAACGTCTATCAAAAAAAAGATACGAATAAGAGGTGCGATCGCCTAGCAACACATGTCTTCTTATTTAGCGCTAAAAATCGGATATATTAACAAAACACAAACACACACATACAAAAAGTGGAGCTGAAAACTCTCTATTTCAATTTTGACTCACCATTACAAAAGCGTTTTCTTCGTTCCATCTCGAGGAAGCGACTATCTATCAAAGTCTCAGCGCTTGATGAGCTTATGGTCTTGCGCGCCGTTAGTCAGTTAATTATGCGAGGTCACAAGCCCAAAGTTGAATACAAATTAGTTGATCTCTATAGCTAGACCCAAGGGAGCACCTTGACGTATTATTATATAAACAATTTTAAATAACTTAACAAGGATCAATTTGAACACGAGACTAATAATAAAAAAAAATTAAAAAATTAAAACCACAAGAGAGATTCCGTTTTTAAAAACTTTATTAAAAGTCAATAACAAAAATAGTCAAATACACAGCGATTTGAAAGAAAAAGGAATGAAAATTAATCCTTTGACTGACTATTACAAATCCGTTTTTTGCGTTCCATTGCGAGGAATAATAAATAATCCTTCCGTGTCTACACAATTTTCCTATGGCGTCGAAGCCAAGAGTTCGACTTTCTTTGTTTCTTGCGTTTTGTCTTGTACTTTGTAGTCGGTCGTTTAGCTTTTGCTTCAAAAGAGGCTTCATTTCTTCGTGATCTTGACAGTTCGTACACCGTTTCTTGTGTCTGTATTGGATTGCGAGTACTAGTTGAGTGATTTTTTCCGGAATTATCCGCTTCACTTTCGTAAAGGACGACTTTAACTTTAACTCTGCGAGATGGTTAGCTAATCTGACAAGATACTTCGCCCCACACGATAAAATAAGACAGTTTCTGCAAACTCTCTTGTAGACCATGTTGACAGTTCGATGGATGAACACAAATGACATCTTTTTCGCAAATAGTCAGGTTATATAGAGTGTCAGAAAGGCCAAACACAGGCCAGAAAGGCCATAACCAGGCCAGAAAGGCCAAAACCAGGCCAAAAGGGACAAAAGGAGACAAACGGGCCATTCCTAGTCATGTATCTTTATTTTCTCAAACACACGCGTGGGTGTCGCGCGTCGCTAGTCACGCAACAGCTCTCAACATTGGAATCATCATCTTATCAGTGTAGTAATCACAAATAACAGTGCCTAATTAAAAACGTTTTGATCCTAAATTAGTAATTGGTATTTCAAGTTTCAGTTTTTTTTTATTTTTTTATTTATTGTATCAGTTTACTATTATTGTTATTATTTTCATGTCAGCAATAAAACACTCTTAAGTTGGGGGGTGGGCGCGGTGGATAATATGAGTGGGCTAGTGTGAGTTATTGGGGGGGGGGGGCGAAGTACAAAAAAATATATTCGCGCGAGGGAAAATTAAACGAAAAAAAATCATGCACTCCAATTAATCCTAAAAAATATTCATACTAAGGCCTAAAAACAACTTATACAAGGAATTTGGTGACGAAAAAAAATTCCTGCGGCTCGAAAATTCCCCTCCGCCCATAACTTTTCTAATGGTCCGTCGCTTATGGAGTGGACATCTGTCTTAGTTATAATACGGTGCATTCCAAAAAAAAGAAAAAAAAACAGACAAACAAAATACAGGAAAACAAAGAGGAAGAGCCGCGCAACAAAAGATCACAGTACAAAGTAAGCTGTTTCACTGTATTAATCGTCCTGAAAACAAACTAACGATTCACCTTTTAGACTTTTATCGTCATTCCTCGTTAAATCATGAAGTCCGTACATAATGGCGTGTACATAGTATATAGGTCATTAAACTTGAAACTTTAGTGACGCCAATTTTCTTCCTAAATTAATTGATTGAAAAGCTGGTTAAGTTCATTAAGAGGAATCGCATTTGCGGTCGTGAGTTACATCTTTTAACTATACCTTACATGACCCACCAGTTTCTTTTTATAAATTAATCGTGCATGCATGCATGGACACCTTGTTGGTAATCATGGCAAAATGGAACGTACCTGAGGAAAGTCGATCTTTTTACATTTTGTTCCGGTAGTCCAAAAGTCAAGGGAAGTGGTTCCCAGCTGTGCTCCTTTGGGAGCAGATTGTAGTGCAATCCAGTTTATCTCAGCAGTTGAATTTGAGCCGTTGCTGTACTCGTAGATACAAACGCGGAATTGAGTTCTATCCGCCGATTCAACCCAAATAGCAGCACCATTACCACGAGCCTGGTTGTTAACCGAGTGACCAAAGGAAGCAAAGATTTTTACTTGCTTTCCACCGAAGAATGGTTCAGCAAATGTGATTGTCTCACAAACGAACAACCCTGGACTTTTGACAGTGACGTTGGTTTTTCCAGCTTTGAAACTGACTGCTATAAGAGAAAAAAAACAAAAAAAAAAA